AACTCCATTAATACCACGACTGTGTGCAATGTTTTCTTGTTCCTCAAGATAACGCTTTTTTAGTTCGTGTGTTTATCAAACATGTCGGAAATAGAACACCTAAACCTTAAGTTCGGAACGAAGCACACTGCTATAAATTTTGATTATAACTTCTCCCCCTATTTGATTCCTGTTAATTATAAGCCTTGCTCTATGTTAAATGCATGGACGATTAAAGAAACATTGACATCACTTAAAAAGGAACTACATGCAATTATGGTACATGATTAAGATAATTGCCGATTGTATTCATATTGCATAATTGATTATCAAAAATGTTATCAAAAATGCTTATGGTGATTTGATTGAAAGTTACTATTAAAACATGTGGGCTAGTGAAAAAGGTTTGCCGGGGCCAGTGAAAACTCTGGTTTACTGGCCCGGCTGGCCAGTAAAAGGAAAAAGTTAAGGAAAACCCCTGAATTACGTCATCATGACAGTCATCATCGATGGGTCACGTGACGTCCACTTAAAAAAATAAATAAACTTAATCTTTGAAATTCAATATAAAATCAACCATGAGAGACCAGAACTTGAATTGTTGATAATGACATGATAATATATGATCTTCATTTAATCTGCGTGCGTTCAAATCACGTGACAATTGCTTCCAGTCGAAACCAGAAGTGCAAATATTTTGAAAGTGGAAAAGATATAAACTTGCTTTTAACGATGTTAGTGTTCTGCCTGGATTGACCTTTCAAAACAAATAATCGGTGACATCATGAAGTGTTGGAGCGCCCCTCTAGCGGCAGGTTAAAAAATTTCAAGAACGCATTTTCAGTTGATGTCTGTGGCGAAATTTGCGGTAACCGCTTTAAAATTCATATAAAATGATGACCTTAACCCTAACCCTGCCAGACGCAGCACAGTGTATCAGGTGGAAAAGTCTGGCATGCACTTTGATGGAAAATGCTACCAACACCAGTGCAGAAACCGGCCACTTCTGAGACACTGAGGGCTAGTCCCATGGAACAATGCCCGAGTTGTATCCTGCTGCGTTGGGGGACAACAGACTCTGAGGCAGTTTGGCCTTGAGACTTTTGACCTGATGGATCTTGCTACACTGGGCAGGCTTGTCACTTAGACAAGTGTGCATGTTGCCTGCGTTTTTGGCAGGGTTTCTAGCCAAAATACCCTGGAGGGTTAGGGTTAATACAGGCAACACCTGTGCGCGAAAAAATTGATTACATCATCAGACCGGAAGTTACAATCAAACGACCTCTTTTCCTATGAAATTGCTAAAAAATCAACAGTCAGTGATATAATCAAGTTTTGTTCTTTAAAATGGCACTTTAATAATAGGTCTAAAACTTCCCAAGGTTTTGTTACAATAATTAATTACAAGAGGCCCTGTAGCCCCCTTGAAATTCGCAGTTGAACACGCCTACGCATTGAAACGCTCATTTAATGCCACGTACATTGTGTGTACAGCAAATGGGGATAATTGCGTACAAAGGGAAAATCCCGAAAAACAGTGCTGCAGGAACTTCCCGTCATGATACTCAAAAATTGGGCTGGCAAAAGTGCCCAATTGGGCGCTTTTTTAATTTGGCGTTTTTTTTCTAAAAACATGCGCATTAGGGTAAAGAGGGTATGGCGAGCAATATCTTGTATTGCGCCAATGGTGTGACCTTTACTTTTGGAGCTATTTAATGGTTTTTTTTAACAATTGCACTAGTTTAGTTTACAGTACAGCCGCATACGCGCATGCAGATCCTCACCTGACTCTTTTTAACTATCCTCTGTAGAATTACTCCACATGCTATTTTTCAACCGTCAACCCTCCACATCAACATCAACAATCAACAACAATTAATCAACAATCAACATTAACATTAACATCATGCATCAACAATCAACATCAACAATCAACATCAACAATCAGCAATCAACAGCAACATCAACAATCAACATCAACAATCAACATCAACAATCAACAATCAACAATCAACATTAACATCAACAATCAACATCAACATCAACAATCAACATTAACATCAACAATCAACATCAACAATCAACATCAACATCAACAATCAACATCAACATCAACAATCAACAGCAACATCAACAATCAACAGCATCATCATCAACAATCAACATCAACAATCAACATCAACAATCAAAAATCAACATTAACATCAACAATCAACAGCAACATCAACAATCAACATCAACAGTCAACAATCAACATCAACAATCAACATCAACTATCAACAATTAACATCAACAATCTGACATTCAACATCAATAACCAACATCAGTAATCAACATCAACAATCTCCATCAACAATAAACAATTAACATCAACAATCATTAACAAAAAAAACATCAACATCAACAATCAACATCAACAATCATCAGCAAACTACATCAATAATTGTCAATGAATATCAACAATCAATTATCAACAATCAACAATCAACATGAACAACTACCATCAACTATAATCAACAATCAAAATCAACATCAACATCAACAATCAACAATCAACAATCAACATCAACAACCAACATCAACAATCAACAACAATAATCAGCAACGCGAAAAAGCCATACCTCTAGCCCAACACCTTGTGTTTGTCCTCAAACTCTAGTGTATTTTTGTATTCGTTGACTATTCTTCAATGCAAAATTTGCAAATTCATTTCCAGAACTGATTGTCAAAATCAAAACCCACATGAACTTCATTTGTCAATACATGAATGCATAACCCACTAAAGATGTGCTTTTTTGCAATTACGTCATCATGACGTCATCATGGGTCACGTGACGTCACTTCAGAAAATAATAAATTTAATCTTTGAAATTCAATATAAAATCAACAGTGAGAGACCAGAACTTGATTTTGCGGGAATAGACATGATGATACATGATCTTCATTTCATCCCCTGCGCGTGAAATCATGTAACCCTTCCTTCCTGTCGAAACCGAAGTGCTTAATAATTTGAAGGTAATAAAAAATATGAACTTGCTTTCAACAATGTTAGTGTCTCAATGTGTTGACCTTTAAAAAAAAAATGATCAGTGACACCACGATTAGTTCGATCGCCCTCTAGCCGCAGGTTAAAAAATGTCCAAAATGCATTCTCAGTGGATGTCTGTGGCAAAATTTGCGGTAATCGCCTCAAAATGATGTATACATGATAACCTTAATGCAGACAAGACCTGTGCGCGAAAAAAAATTGATTACGTCATCAGACTGAAAGTTAGAAGGAAAAGACCTCTTTTCCTTTGAAAATTCCTGGAAAATTAACCCTGGGGGATTTAATCTCGATTTGTCGGTTAAATGGCAGTTTAGAAATAGGTCTAAAACTTCCCCATGTTTCGTGGCAATAAGTGAACTTTGAGATGTCCTGCAGCCCCCTTGAAATGTGAAGTTGACAATGGACGCCCTGACTAAGTTAAACATGGATTAAAACAGGCATTTGGAGTTGATTTGTGTGGAAAAGTTTGCGGTAGTCAATGGCCCAACACCGTGTGGTTGTTCCTACAACCTCTAGTTTTTATTAAATAGCATGTCCAGGAAAATCCCTAATTTGCATATTAACACACGTACTTGTGTACATACAGCAAGTGCAAGTTGACCTGTAAATACTTGTCCTTGTTAGCCCTATCCCTAATGTTATGTTTCAAATGTTTAAATACAGTATCTTGCTAGCTCTAGATAGTGGTGGAACTAGGGGGGTATCACTTGTGGAGGCGTGTGTCCCCAAGTGGATCCATATCCCCGGTGCCCCCATATCCCCCCCCCCCCTTCAGTGTGAACTGTTTGAGCTGGGTGTCACCATGTTGGTTGTTCAATGAATGTGATTAGAACTTGCCCATCTCATTTTGAAAGCCAAGTGTGCAATACTAGAGACAGTAGGGTTAAATTTCTGGTCGAGAAGGGGGGGGGGGCCCACATGGGTTGCCTTACATTTTTCAAGGGATATCGCACTTCAAAATAATATATGAGGCAATTGATAACATGTATGTGCCAAATGATATTTTTTTCAATTCAAGATTCAAAGGGGGGGGGGGGGGGGAGGGCCGATAGACATCTTGGTGCAAGGCACCTACATTGTACTTGTACTGGGAGACACGTGCCCCCCTCCCCACCCCCCCCCCCATCCCCTCCCTGCTACCCCCATAGTTACGCCACTATAGAGCTACATGTACATGTAGCAAGATGCTGCATAAACAATGGACACAACATATTAGGGTTTTAAAGGGCAGGCAGTGATTAATGTGCACAAGCAGTATGTACATTTAAAAAATATGCAAATTAGGTTTTTTCCCGGACATGCCATCTTTAAAAATTATAACTTCAAAACTTTAAGAGCGCCCATCCCAATTTTTTTTAAGATTGTTGCTGACATCATAAACTAACATTTTTTGAAAAAAAATTACGAAATCTGAAGCATATTGATTTTCGCAATTCAAGGTCAAAGGTCATTTCGTTACGCATTTTCTCTCATGCTACGATTTTGGTTTTATTTTATGAAATGGAGGCCATTCAAAGAGCTTTAATATGATGTACAACTTGGCTTTGTAGGTGCTAGATTTTGAGATAAAAGTATTTAAAGTTCGGAGGTCATGCTAATTAGTCAAAAGTTCGTGGACTGTATCTCAAAAACTAACGAACCAATTTACAAATAAATTCAGTTTAAGGGGTTTCTCATATACATGTAAGCCATTCAGCACACCAAATATCGTTTCAATCTGTGAAGGTCAGGTCCAAAATTGTGTTGAATTGACACGGAATGACCCATGTATGTTAATTTTCATCAATTTGTATTGTGCGTTAGGTAAGTGTTTCAAAACTTCTTTGGTTTTTATTGTCTGGTACATGTAAGTCAATAACGAAACATAACCAGGAGCATACAAGTTGAAGTATGGTACACTTTCTTTGAGGCAAATATTGTGATTGACATGAACATACTGTATATGTATACGCAGTTCTCTCAAGATTTGATTTCAACATAAGATTTTGCAACAACCTCACCTTAATGATCCTTTGGAGCCACCTACTTTTCGACTGCATGTTCTGTCATTACAGGAATCAATAAGCCGCTTTAGGATGAACAGACACTCTCTGAAGGTAGAGATGAAAGGATGATGACTCAGTATGCACAGTGATGTCAGGGAATTATTGCGAACTTTCTTGGCCTGCTTGAGTTTTCTACGAGTTCTTGGTGACCTTTTCCTTTGTCCTTCATCTGAGGGCACACTTAGAGTTCCATTTCTGTTGGAATTCTCTCTGTCGTTATGCAAAGCCTTTTCATTCTGATGTTCCATCTTTCTATCAGAGGATTTAAAGGGCCGATAGAAGTTGACACAAATACCATATCTTGCTCTTCCGCTGTCTTTATCAGTCAAAGTAAAAACAAAGGATGTGTTTTCTCTGAGGCTCAATTTCTTCTGTCCAACTGTGAGGCAACCTTCTGGCTGACAAAAGAACACAACATCTTGAGGTAACGGAAAATCTGGGTGGTCATCTTGAGGGTAACGACGTAGCATTTCTGGTGTTTGTGCAACATTATTGTTGCTATATGGATGGCGACTTCCCACAATTAATATATAATCCAGTAGACGGGGAGAAAAGTATTTTTTGCCAGCTTGAAATCCTTCCATGTTTGCATGCAGTGTACTGATCAATATTCCAAATTCCTAGTCACACTCAGTCTTGTCCTGAAAACTCCAGCAGCATCATTGGTGATTTGCGAGTGAATAGTCCCACCATCCTGGTGTGTTACACATAACTGTCAGCTATGAATAAAGAAAATGAAAGAAAGACCTAAGAATAAATTCTGACTTTACAATGAAATAGTATTCATAAATACCTAAGACAGTTTACCCATTCCCATTGGTCGAGAGCCCGTCACGTGGCCGGTCTTTTAAAACAGATGATTAAGACATGGCTGGCTTGGTCTTAAACACTTTTCCAGTGTCACATGAAATTTGACTCCTTTGAAATCCCATGCATTTTACCATCTTATTGGTTGAATGTTCACAATCCTCACGTAGGCATGCGCAATACTACCAGTGAGTCAGTATTGCATAGTCCTAAATTCACAACGCACTCACCACTGCTGCATCTGCGCGTCATCCCGCAGTATGCACGCCAATCTCCATAAAAGGAGTTGTTTACGTCTTATCTCGCAAGCTGGACACTCCATTATATAGCTAGAGGAGTGTTTTGAAAAACAGAAAGTAAAATTGTTGAACAAAATCGTTGTTTTGAGTTTTGGACCAAAAGGTTTTGATTTGTTACCGAAAAGGTACTATGAATGGGAATAAATACGTGCTTGGTCGGTATTAAACACTATGTTAAAGACTGGTTGGAGTCTGGAATGCTGATAACATGTAATAACCCTCGGCTTCGCCTCGGGTAATTATCAGCATTCCAGACTCCAACCAGTCAACATAGTGTTTAACACCTCCCAAAAACACATTTATTCCCTTATTTAGACCCCGTTCCCACTTGATCCAGCAATTGGGGGATCTGATCCACCTTTTGCCAAATTGCCGGATCAGATCCCCTAATTGGTGGATCAGATCCGGCAATTGTGTGTAGTGGGAACGCTAACCGTTATAAGGTGGATCAGGATCAGATCCACCTTTCTTGATCCACCTCTGGAGCAGGATACAGATCCCCCAATTGGTGGATCAGATCCTGCAATTGGCGGATCACGATCAGATGGGAACGCAAAAGGTGGATCTGATCCGGCAATTTGACCTGTCATCATCCGCCCAGTGCATGAGTGGCATGAAAATGTTGCGGTCTTATGAACGAAGAAACACGTTTTCAGGCGTGTAGATCGTGTGAAATTTCCAACGTACACCACATGCACAATAAACAACTGCTGAACTACGGGCTAGCACCGCGCATGCACGATGTGTGCAGCGCACGTGGTATATCCTAAAACTAGGCCTTTTCAGTTTTCGTTGCGTATTCGTCCATTTATAAACCTTTTTCATTCGTGAAATTTTACTTATTTTTAATCCATAATTAACTCTGAGTCCGCACTCACCAAACCACGTCACTTTGGCACAGAATCATAGAAAAGCTTACGCGTATGCGATGAGAATAGTGCCGATAATGCGGTACGTACAGAGGTGACAAATCTGTAGTATACAAATATTGAATGCTTTGAGTGGTGTAGTAAAACTAGCCTCCCGAGGTAATCCATGGACATTCTATTTTCCCGAGGCGAAGCCGAGGGAAAATAGAATGCTCCATGGATCACCGAGGGAGGTTAGTTTTACTTCACCACGAGATAAAGCATTCAATATTTTTTTTATAACACTTCACCCACAGATTCTGCTTGGTTTTAATATTCTAAATTATTTAAATCTGAACACAGTTGAAATAAACTTCCATTTTAATACAAAATTGGTGGAAAATGTATTTCTCTCTTCCAAACTACCCCTTCGCGAAATGTTTGAACCCAACTCTGTGACGCGCTCTCTTTGGAACAAAACGTGCTACGCGCATAGTACTTTGGTTGCTACGGGTATAGTACTTTTGGCCGTGCACAGAAAGATAGCAAAAATAGAAAGTATCATGTGACTCACTCTCGGCCAATCAAGACACAGAATTTGTGGGTGAGGTGTTATAATATTGATTATAGAAAATTGGAAAATGATGTCGTAGTACATCATGTGCCCATGTTTAAACAATGAGAAGCTTCAGAACCAGGGAATCCCTTATCGATGCATTGGTTTCTGTCGACGTCACGCAATGAGCAACGCTGTACGATTTCACCAGTTAATTTATGCACGCACGGACCCTTTACGGATCCGTGATTTATGTCGGTGAATTCACGTAATTTTTGTCGGTGAATTCTGATAGCGCTGTTTGAAAACTGACTCATCCTAGCATGCAACACTGGCAGTCCCACAGAGCGCGCGTAATTCAGAACTCAGTGACCTTTTGGACTCGACATTTCCGTACGAAAAGGTGGATCAAGCATAAGTGGGAACGCGACTTGTGGTTTCGTTGCGGTAAGATTAACGATCACACCAAAATGCCGGATCTTGATCCACCTTTTCCCAATTCAAGTGGGAATGCCGTGTTATTAATCTACCTACTGTTAAGGGGAACCTTAATCCACAAGTTAAATGTACAATGCAAACATCTTTCTCCTGTCCTAATTGCCTAGGGAAACTGTAATAAATATTGGTTATTGTAACTGTGTCTCCATGCATTCACTCCCAAGTGAATGACTAGTACTACTTGTTTACATTGCAACTGATGCTCATGCATGTCATGCAGCACATTAGTGCATTGTGTGTGTGTATATACGAACAATGTATACATATATCACAGAACAGCGCTTATATTGCAAATTTGCAGTGGTTGGATTTCTGTGTTGGTTATCATGGATATTTCTTAATGAAGTATCTAAGTCAAGAGACCATGCATGGACAATCAAGCCATTCATAAATTTCAGTTTTATTTCTACAACTTTTTGTACCAAGAGCCGTACATGTACATGTATGTATGTATAGTCGTATCTATTTTTTAAATTTTATCTTCCAGCACCCGATTTCATAAAGCTCATCGCAACTTGCCTGCAACACGTCATATCCCTATACGATGCAACTTGCCTGCAACACGTCATATCCCTATACGATGCATGCCTGCAACACGCATATCCCTATACGATGCATCGCAGCTGCGACACGTCCTGCAACTCATTTCACAAAACATGTCATAAGTGCGACCACTGATCTCTATATAAAGACTGGATAGCGGATAAGCATACAACATTCACACAGTAGACTTTGCATATTGACCAATTCGCCCCCGGTCTCACGAAGATGGCCGCGTATATACGAACGTTCTACGCGTAAATACGCGCGCGTTGTATCAACAGTTGACGCGCATTTTGGTCACGTACACATATTATGATGTTCTAAAAAGGACACATTTCCGTAGTGATTATTATTTCAAAAACGCCGAAAAAGTGATTTGCGGCATTATATTTAGTAACATTATAAAAGTAACCACGACGTTAGAAAAATTGTAGTAAACCTTGGTCAGTTGGTCAGTGGTGGTGGCCAAAATATAAGTCAAGTGAACTGCGACGTTGCAAAAGAAATCATGCTGTCTATAAAAACGACAACTTGTCCTTTGTAGATCACCAGCCGGTCTCACCAATATGGCGTCAAATTCGTACATTGTGCGGCTCTGTATTAGCTATCCAGTCTTTATATAGAGATCAGTGAGTGCGACGCATCATATAGCACAACACTGTATTTATTCAGCGTACAGAAAATAGTTGTCTGTTATTCAACAAATTGGATCTCCTCTCAAAAAGTTTTTAAAACGTAAAACAAAAATTGTGGACGCGCGATGCAGTTTTTAAAGATATAGTCCATCATTTTTAATTTGTGCATTTTGTTCGTTTGAAGCAACAAAAGTGTTCAAAATCTGATGAAGGATACTGAACAACTAACCTGATGAAGTTTCAGCTCAGCTTCAGCTGTATATTCCGAGAAAAACAGCATTCTAGGATCTCAATTTCAAATCAAAAGTTGCTGAATCATGTTTTGAATTGCAGCTATACGCGATGTCGCGCACTGATCCGACGAATTATAGCAACCGCGCTCGCCTGTGCGTCGTGCCAATGCTTGCGCGCACTGCGCCGAATAACAAAACGAACTACTAATGTAAATTTTCCTACGGTGCGTCTTAAGACGCACTGTTGGAAAGGCCTTCTTTCGTTGATTACTTCAAAATGATAGCTTGCCAAAAAGATTAATTTCACAGGGAGTTTAGTCCACTTACTATCTTTCAACCAAGTACGTTTTTCAACAATAATACGCCAGTTACTTTTTCGGATGGCTGCAAATGATGGACTATAGCTTTAAGGAAAACAAGCTCGCGGTGGACGGTATTAATACTTTCAAATTCCCACTGCAATATTCAAGGCAACTTCATAATTACTTCAATGCATTGTCCATTTACAACTTTACACACATTGTCTCAGTATTATAGTCTCGTTTATGTAATTTTTATGGCATAAAATTGGCTAAGAAAAGAGCGCATCTTATTTTGCGATGACCACTAGGCACGTCGTAACTTGCGACGTGTTTTAAGCCGTTGTCAAGGAACTTGGGGACGTCCCATTGGTCCCACATCCCATTGGTATGACGTCCCATTGGTCCAAAGTCCCATTGGTCCGACGGTTAGGGTTAGGGTCAGGGTCAGTCAACCTGAACCAGTGGAACTCGGACCAATGGGACGTTTGACTATAATTGTTTTTTGTTTAAACGTTTAAACATGTAAACGTCACATCCTTCATCCAGACACCCCTTCTTTGGTTGTGCAGCAACTCCAGCTGACATGTTCATCAGGAATTCGACTTGTAATGTGTCGAATTCCTGATGAACATGTCAGCTGGAGTTACATATGTACGCAAGCAATTTTAAAGTATTTTCTATTGGAAATTTTTCTCAGTTCCAGATGCATGTCTTTTGATAACATTAATGCGCCTATCAAACATTTCATAGGCGCATTAATATTTCCATGATAGTATGTATATAGTACTAGGCCTACTAGTACTAGTCATGCTAGTAGTAGTACTAGCTAGTAAAGCATGTAAATTATTGTCAAGTACCAAGCACACAAGTATCCAAACCAGATATGAGATGATAGTGGATATATTGCCGGAGGTAATGCCGGCAAGCTAACGTTTACAAAAGGTTTGCTGGCGGCAACCCATATCAACAGAGGGCGCTGTACTCTCTAAGATCGGGCTGAATTATACAGTCGACTCTCGTTAGTACAAACTCTGTTAATACAAAATTCTGGTTAATAACAAACATAAAGCCATGGTTCCGACTGTGCATTTATGTGCACAATGAATGGGACTGATGTTCCTCTTAATACAAAATTCTGATATAAACAAACAATTTGTCTAGGTCTGATATAAACAAACAATTTGTCTAGGTCCGAACGAGTTATAACGAGACTCGACTGTATTAAATTACCACCAACAGTTGTGTAGCACCCTTGGTCTAGTGGATAAGCAACAGATCTGATGAGCGGGAAGACCCGGGTTTGATCCCGATCCCCGCTGGCGACATTTCTAAGGTTTTTTTTCCCCCATCCCCCCAAAATAAGAATATTGTTCTTTTATTATTTTAACATAACATGTCTCAAACATTTTATTGGAGAGTAGGGCCTATTACATTTTCTTTTTCAGATTTGTGGCTCTGGAGGATTTTTTTAAAGGGAAATAAAGTCTGAAATTGTAAAATGGTCTGATTCCCATCTTGTGAATACGAAGTTACAACGATAATGTTGGCATGGAGCCAGACTAAAATTTGTCACCAGAAAATTTTTTAAGCACAAAAAAACAGTAACTGCGCATGTTCAGTGCCAGCCTCGACTCCATGGGCGCGTGCTTGTTCCTTACACTAACCCCTGGCTGTGATGATGACGTAAATGACGCTGAATGGCTATTCACAGCGTACTGCGCGGGCATTTCGAAGATTGCACACTGGGCGCGCCCATAATGCGCTCGCGCTTGCATGCTTAGCTTTGCACGTAACGTCACGTACGAAAAAAAAAATTATGATTCAAATGTTGCGATGCCTGTACGATATGGATTATGTCAGCCGCGTTTTTCGCTTAGAAAACCCTGTATCTGTGGTTGTAAAGGCACGAAAGGGGTACATACATTTAATACAAATCTTTGCTAATTAACACAATGTCCAAACGTTGTGTTTGAAAGGATTGATTCTTCAAAATCACAACCTTTAACATTTTAAAGATGGCATCGGCACGTAAAACGGATAAACTGCAGCCCTAATTAAAATGTGCCGTATTTTGGCACATTTAAATTACACAATTCCAGGGGTTACGATCGCGCAAGGCATGATGGGAAACAACATGGCGCTGCAAGATCGTACCCACAGGGCACGAGGTTGGTTCAGTGCATATCCGGCAAGCTAACGCCTAGTACTAAAGGTTTGCCGTCTCCGGCAAAATATCCACTGCCATATGAGATAGCATTAAAATTATCGCCATATCGGTTTTTCAGTTCCACGTAATAAGACCATGGATGGAAGTAGCTTCCTCCGTGATTAACGTTAGACTGATACTGATACAACGGTAATCCTTACTTTTAGGACCCCATTCATATATAAGGTTAAAAGACTCACCAAAACAGCTGACTAAATGATAATCAAAAGTGACAATCTGATATTTCTTGGCACACTTGAACATTTGGCAATGACACCTCTTGAATATCAGCAGGTTTAATTTTGTAGAAAGAGGGCAGGGCTCCGGGCTTTGATTTAAGAGGGGTTAAAGACGATGATGACAAACAGAAAATATATTAAAAAAGCAAGATGGCGAACTGCAAAATAAGGTAGAAAAGTCACATTTTCTTTGAAAGTGCTTTCAAAATTACAACTAACAAAAGTAACATGAATCATATGAGTTTATCTGAGAAAAAAAAGACTGCTTTAGCCTGCAAAAGTCACTTTGGTACCGGACAGTCATCTGCAAAAGTCAGTTTTGAACAGAACTCATAAAAATAGAGGTGTCCTAAAGATAAGGATTACCATACAACGACGTTTAGCTGTCATCACGGATGCTGTCAAATAACACATTCGGTAATCCTTACTTTTAGGACCCCGTTCCTATATAGGAAGGGAAAGACTCACCAAAACAGTTGACTAAATGACACTCAAAATTGACATTCTGATACTTCTTGGCACATCTGAACAATTGCAATGACACCTTCTTGACTTCTAAAGACTGCTTTAGCCTGCAAAAGTCACTTTGGTACTGGACAGACATCTGCAAAAGTCAGTTTTGAACAGAACTCGTAAAAAATAGAGGTGTCCTAAAAGTAAGGATTACCACACATTCCATGTCATTTTTCATTGTCATTCATTGTCAGTAGGCCGGACATTATCCATGTGATCACCGACACTTTTCAGCTAGTCGTATACATTTCGACACGTCCGGAAAAGGAGAAATCTCCGTAGTTGATACAATAATATACCATGAAATATGTAACAACTTACATGAACAAATTTGCAGTTCGTTCTTAACATGTAACAGTCCTCGAGTACATACCTCCATCACTCGTTTGCTCAATATGTCTGCCATTTTCATCGAGAGAGCTAGTTAGCCCTAGGCGCTTCATTCACTAGCACTGCGCATGTTCTCAACACCTACGCGCTTGTACGTGCGTCATAGATTTATGCAGGGGCGCGCGAGAGGTATACGTACGTACATGTACGTACGTACATGCACAGCAAGCTGCTGCTGCCGCCGGCTGCCTGGCCGGCGATCGCGAATGATAATGAGGATGAATCGATCAGCCGAATCTTATCTTCATAATTCGTGATTATGCGGGTACATTACTGTTTTGCGCCTAGTGATAGAGTAGGCCTAAAAACCAAACGGTGTTTCCATCCTCGGCATTTGCATTTGCTCCGTGATTATGAAATTAGCGGTGCCGGTGTATCCAAGCCGGGCCCGCCCACTTTGCTGCCTCAATGTCAAACCTCAATTATTATTGGCGTCAAGTGAGCAATTAATTTTTCTCGGCTCTCTTGCAATTCAATTATCCGAGATGAGCAGAGATTTTAAGTCAGCAAATTAAAAACTCACTGTTGTGCAAATCATGCAAGAGCTCCCTGTATGATTGCTATAAGTGTAACTGGAAAGCTGAGCTGCTTTCCGTTTTCTGGGTGGGGGGTTTGGCAAGTTGTTTTGTGAGGTTATAAACGCACCCACATTCAACAGCAAAACAAATCATTCATTTACCACGGAACCATGGAGCTATAAAACACATCTTCATGATTAAACATAGCCTGGTTTAACTGGTGTGCACATGTACGGCACGCGCGGATCCAGATGGGGGCACTCCCGGCCCGTGCCCCCCCCCCCCCCACCCACCCCTTTTCGCAACGTTTGGGGGTTTTTGGTGGTTTTTTTACGAGTCGTCTTAGGGCGGGCGGGCATTACATACACCCCTTTGATAACATGGCTATCTTTTTCGTTTTTGAGGAGTCATTATGGCGGGCGGACGGGCGGTCATCAAATCAATCGCTTTGAACATAACTATCATACATAATTATCAACAAAATATACAATGTATAAGTTTTGAAGGTCGCCTGTCAATCATTGTCTCAAAATTTCTTTCAAAGCAAGAATATTTTTTTAAGACACTTTTCTATTTCCCGGCTTGAATAGGGGGGCACATTTAATACAGCACTTGCATTTAATGCTTCATGTCAAAATATATCCAAAATATATCCAAAATATCGTTAAAGTTTGCACTCTAAGTTAATTCTTTTGTAGATTCCAGGGGAAATTTTATACGAATTATGCTCGGTTTTTCTTATTTTTAAATGAATATGATCAGGATTAACAACATCCCTCAAATAATAGCGTCTAAATAAATTCCAAAATATATTCTAGAGAAAACATTTTCACAAAATAATGTAGGCCATGAGTTTTATTTTTTAAATACACGAAGAATTAATCGTCATCCCGTTTATATTGTCCCGGCCTCAGATAGAGAGAGACATCAAATAAATAGGGGTTATTTTAATACGATTTAGTATGTCTTGTTCTCTCGATTTATTTTTAAAGTAAAACTATTTCAAACACCCTAGCCCATTAAGTTCTGAACTCTCAGTTAATTCTTTTGTAGATTCCAGGGGAAATTTTAATACGAATTATGCTTAGTTTTTCCTAATTTTAAAAGGAATACGAATAAGATTATCAACAGCCCTTTGACTTCAAACTTAATTTCAAAATGTATTCCGAAATAATTATATTTTAGAGTAACATTTACAAAAATAATGTAGGCCATGCAGTTTTATTTTTTAAATAAGCGAAGAATAAAATCGTACTACGAAAAAAAGACAGCCTTTCCAGAGAATGATTGATAGCCGCTTTGTTCAAATTGATACAATGCCACTCTTGTTCGTTACAAAGCATATATATTTGGGTTCAGCTGTAGGCCACCGAACTTTAAGGCCTTTGAGAACTTGCCGCCAGTAATTGGAAGATTCTTAGATGATAAACAGTGATGATAGTATCTCAGCCAATGAAATGAGGCGGTTCCCGGCAAATAAGTTTGCCATTGGTTGCTTTCATCACGGACCGTCTGCTTTCATGAATATGACTTCCTTCCACGCGCAACTGGAGTGATTAGCTATCTGAGCCACAGGTGCATGGCTGCATGCCCATCACATTCAAACCTGGTTGCTTAGAAATACTGTTGCTAGGAGGCTCCCCTGTGATGCCTGGGACTGCCGGTTGCGTAGCCAGAAATCTTGTATGTGACTATTTTGAAACCTTGTATGTGAAAGCGGCAGCTCAGGAATGCTGCCGCTTTCGGGAAATTTGTGCAGGCAAAGTTTTTTCATACTTTGGAAACTGGAATTTTGATGCAGTTTGCATTGCCGTTAAATAAAAGGTTGTTTTTTTGGTTTTCTTTTTAGAAAATCGGAGCCCCCCCCCCCCCCAAATACAAATAAACGATTTTCCTCAGGCCTTGACATTTCTTGAAGTGATTCGACAACACTTGCAGAATGCAGACGACTCATTTCGTCTTAAATTATTTAGCCTGCAGACTTCAAAAGAACATTGGAAAAAATGGTGGTTAAAGTGTATACAAGTGTATATACAAAGTAAGTATATATACATGTATGTGTGACCGCAGTTACCACACATTATACTGGGACACAGGCGGCAGTCTTTTTGAAGTCTTGACTGAACGTTTAAACACTACGGAAAATTTTGCTAATATCATCAAATTTTTTATGACAATCGAGATGGTTTTGAAATCGGTAAGTTTTATTTCTTCTTTTTGTTTGTAAAGACTATTCGTAATGTAATACTCAGCAGGCTTATAAGTTATACAACATTTTTCAAAGGAATTGGGACAGAGACATTTTCTGGGCCGGTTGAGTGCTCAGCTGCCGTGGGGTGGGGGGTGGGGGTAGGAGCTGCTTGGGGCAGGCTGTCCCCTAATGAAATTCAATTTATTTTATTTTATTTGTTTGCAAGGCAAATTTCTGGGTAGAAATGTATGTTTTAATAGTAAACATGACTTTTTTTGGCTCGCTCGCAAAATAACACATGTTCATTTTTTTTCCACCCGGGGGCTGTCATCAGCACCTTCTAATTTTGGGGTTCATTTTCAACTATAAACATCAACAGTAACTTTAAATTCTATATTTGATAGAAAAAAATAGTGTTATTAAAAATAAAAAATAAACATTGTGAATTTTGCTCTTAATGGCTTAAAATACTCATGATGTAGGAGATAACATCTAAAATCGTAGAGCTTCCAGTGCCCTCAACCCCGCCCGCAAGGGATTTCGCGCTTCAGTCTCGTTATGTGTGCAACGCGCACAAAGTTTTTGTGCCCCCCCCCCCTTTCTTAAATCCTGGATCCGCCCCTGTACGGTGTATATGTAGCATGCAAAGCAGGATCAAGGTAATTTTTCTGACAGTATCCCCCGGCCCCTGAAACAGAAGCCTGTATGGAGGCCAGCATGGAGGATGAAAAGTGGACATTCTGCTAACTCTTGCTGGAGGTACGGTGCAGAAAATCGGACCGGACGTTATATGGAGAAAAGCAGGTGGCCACTTTTGCAATTGTGCCCCGAGAAAAGTTGAAATCAAGCAGCAGAAAAAAAATATTTTGTAAAGCCTGCCCTTTTCCATTCAAGTGCCCTTTTTTTCCCCGCAAGTTTTTACCCCCAACTCATGCAAGGGCGGTTCCGGGAAGGGGGGGGGGGGGACGGGGGCCCTGGCCCCCCAAACGGATCATTTTTTTTTAATGACGTCGCAATAAAGGCAGGCAATGCGTACACCACCATATTCTCCTTAAACAAAATGGTTAAAGTGGTCAGAAATTGCCTCAGATTGCACCGGACCACAGAGCATCTAAAATCCACAAAAAAATTCGGGGCCTTTCAGCGGGCCCCGAACCCCACGCCGTAATTTTTGGACCCACTTTTTGAGGGACCGTCAATTTTTTTGGCCCCCCCCCCCCAAAAAAATGCGTTCCTAGTCTTGGCCCAAGACGTCAGTGATCAAGAGCGATAGTAGCAGGCTCGTGAGAGACCGGAACCTGGAATTTGCGGGAATCGACATGGTAATACATGATCTTCATTTTATGTTGTGCGCGTAAAATCACGTGACCCTTCCTTCCGGTCAAAACCGGAAGTGCCTAATAATTTAAAAGTGGAAAAAGATATGAACTTGCTTTTAACGATTTAAGTGTCTGTCTGGATTAACCTTTCAAAAAAAGTAATGGGTGACGCCATGAAGTGTTGGAGCACCCTCTAGCGGCAGGTTAAAAAACGTCAAAAACGCATTTTCACTTGATGTTTGTGGCGAAGTTTGCGGTAATCGCTTCAGAATTAATGTACATGATGACCATAATGCAGACAACACCTGTGCTCGAACAAAAAAATTGATTACGTCATCAGACCGGAAGTTACAATAAAAAGACCTTTAAATCTTAAAAAATTGCTAGTAGAAAATATACCGTGATAGATATAATCAAGATTTGGCTGTATACAGCACAGTAAATATAGCTCAGGAGGTTTCTGGTAATGACGTCATTATGACGTCATCAAGTAGCGTATTACAAGCAATCAAAGATATCTAGATTTAATCTTTGAAAATCAATGTAAAATCAACCGCCACAGATTTGATTTTGTTCTTTATGGCAATCGATACAATATTGCAGGGTCTTCATTTTTGGTATTAAGTGCAAAATCACGTGACCCTTTCTTCCGGTCGAAACCGGAAGTGCCTTATTATTTGAAATTGGCAGATGCGAACTTGCTTTCAACGATGTGAGTGTCTGCCTAGGCAGTACTGTACAAACATATTACAGATGACGTCATCAAATGTTAGAGCGCCCTCTAGCGGCAGTTTAAAAAACGTCGAAAACGCATTATCACTTGATGTATGTGGCGAAATTTGCGGTAATCGCTTCAAACCTAACATACATGATGAACTTAATGCAGAAAAGACATGTGCGCGAAAAAAAATGGATGACGTCATCAGACCGGAAGTTATAAAGAAAAGACCTTTAAACCTTAAACAATTGCTAAAAAATCAACCGTGGGAGATAATTATAATCAAGATGTGGCTATATAAAGCAGAGTAAATATAGCTCTGGAGGTTTCTGGCGATGACGTCACAATGACGTCCGAAATCCGTACCAAGTTGAAAAAATAGTAGCCTCCACTCAAGCCTGGTTATAAAAACCATGCCCCATAGGAAAGCACACAAAGTACCCCAGATAGTTGTGTAAAA